GGGGTCAGTTTCTGTTTCTCCTGGATGCTCTCCACATTGCCAGGACCAAGTTGCCCATAGCTGGGCAAATGGAAGCACATGGGTTTGCTTGGGAGTTGTAGGATGTCCAGGCCTGGTGGGCAGCCTGGTTTCTCCGAGGAGAGGCTCATTTTAATCTGCAAGGCTCTCCCAGTTTCTTGAGCTCCTCCCTCAAATGAGTGCCTGTCTTAGGATGGCCTCATCTCCTCTGCTCCAAGACTGGCTCTGTGGCCTGAGCTTGGAAACCAGCCCAGGATCTCAGCAGGCTGTCTTCTGAGCAGACAGCTGGCCAGGGCGCAGGTAAGAGCCATTGTCACAAGAAATGGAGGAAATGCCGTTAGGATAAAAATGACACCTGGGGAGCCTTTTTTTTACATACATAATTATTTTATTTCATTTGAAAATGTGTGTGTGTGCATGAAAGAGAGAGACACCAAGAAGAAACTTCCTACTGGTTCACTCCCCAAATGCCTGCAACACCTAAGGCTGAGCCAGGCCAGAAACAGGTGCCAAGAACTTTATCTGGGTTTCCCATGTGAGTTCCAGGAACACAGGTTCTTGGGCCATTGTCTGATATTTCCCAGGGTTTGCATTAGCAGGAAGTCAGAGTACAGAGTTCAGCTATTTCTCCAACCCAGTCACTTCACCTCGTATGAGATAGGGTTTGTCCTAACTGGTCACTTAACCATCGTTCCAAACATCCGTTTGCCCCCTGCCTCTTTTTACCTTTACTTTTTTTTTTTAATCTTTAATAGATACATAAAAATGATACCTGTCGGTGGGTTCTGATGACATAATTTGATCCCTGTCTACACTGTGTTAATGTTCAGAGTCTCTCTTCTTTTTAGGGATAACAACAACTCATATGTCCCAAGCCACTCTGCCATGTGCTTTTCTTCCTTAGCCCAGTATCATGAAGGCATAGATAATGACCATATACCTTGCTTAGTCCAGACATCTCATTACCAGGAAGATATAAACAAACAAGAGAGAGTTTGGAGTAGAGTAATAAAAATGATGAAGGGGCTTGGCTCTGTTTACTCAAGGAGACATGAAAAGAAGCGAATCTTTCAAGAGGCAAGACCCTGACTCCAGAGCAGCAGCAGGACAAGTGGGTGATTTTTTTCAAGCACCAGGGAGGTCAGTAAATGAGACTGTGGTGGAAGAAAGTGCCGGAGGTGGAGGCAACAGAGTGGACAGGGACAATGCACAGAGACTTGTACCCAAAATTCGACAGCAGTTTCATTTCTAACAGTCCTCAAGGATACCGAACTAATGTCCACAGAAGGAAATAAAGGCATGGGGGAGGAGCGGGGAGGGGAGGCAGGAATGAACTGTTTATCATGGAGTCATACACTGGAGTATCACCCGGTAGTACAGAGATACAACTACTTGTACACACAATATGAATGAATCATAACATAAAGATGCTAACTGAAATGAGAACCAAGCACCTACTGAATTATTTCACTCATAAGTAACTCTGTGGCCCAGTGCAGCAGCCTAGCAACTAAAGTTCTCACTTTAGATCAGCTCAGCTCCAGCCATTGTAGCCACTTGGGGAGTGAACCAGCGGATGGAAGATCTTTCTCTCAGTCAGTCCCTCCTCTCTGTATGACTACATTTCCAATTAAAAAAATAAATCTTTGGGGAAAAAAGAAAGAAAAAAGTTCTAGAGGGCCTGGCACAGTAACCTATTGGCTAAAGTCCTCACCTTGCAAGCGTCAGGATCCCATGTGAGCGCTGGTTCATATCCTAGCTGTTCCACTTCCCATCCAGCTCCCTACTTGAGGCCAGGGAAAGCAGTAGAGCATGGTCCAAGGCCTTGGGACCCTGCACCTGCATGGGAGACCTGGAAGAAGCTCCAGGTTCCTGGCTTTAGATAGACTCAGCTCCAAGTGAAACAGTGGATGGATAATCTTTCTCTAAGTCCCTCCTCTCTATAAATCTGACTTTCCAATAAAAATTAAAAAAAAAAAACTTTATAAAAAAGAAACTCTAGAAAATGCCAACAGATCTATTGTTGTTGTGGCCCTCTTCAGGGTGTGATGAGCCAGTGGATGGAAAGTTGGAGGATTTCTCTGGATCTTTCTGTGTAACTCTCAGATAGATAAGTACAAATCTTAAAAAAAAAAAAAAAAGGGGGAGGTGGGCGTGCAGCAAAGCAGCCTAGTGGCTAAAGTCCTCACTTTATACATGCCAGGATCCCATAGGGATGCCAGTTCTAATCCTAGTGGCCCTTCTTCCCATCTAGCTCCCTGCTTGTGGCCTAGGAAAGCAGTCGAGGATGGCTCAAAGCCTTTGGACCCTGTCCCCGGTGGGAGACCCGGAAGAAGTTCTTGGCTCCTGGCTTCGGATTGGCTCAGCTCCAGCTGTTGCGGACGCTTGCAAAGTGAATTATCAGATGGGTCTTCCTCTCTGTGTATCTGACTTTCCAATAAAATAAATAAATTTAAAAAAAAAAAAGGAAAAGGAAAACAAAGCTGGGAAAAAAACAGGGAATATTTCTGACCTTATAGTACCCATTCCTGGTTTTTTTTTTTTCTGTGGATGTCAAAGACGTCCATTGGGAAGAGTGCAAGGACATACGTAGCAAACCCCAGGGTGACTGCCAAGCTAGGCTCTAGCTTTCTGAGTACTCAGAATCTTTCAGAGCAGATGTGATGGACCGTCCCTGAGATTTAAGCAAAACTAGAACTTACCAGGTACCTAGAGCCAGGGCTAAGACTCCATGGGACCTGGCTCTTGTACTTCAGAATCTAACCTGACCTTAGCTGGCCAAGTCTTCCTTTTCCCTTTGCTCTCCAGTCCTCCTCCACTTTCTCCTTCCTCACATTCCTGAAGCCCTAGATAATGTCCCCCGAGTCCCTTCCTAAGCCCCAACCTTGACGATGATGACAGTTCTTATCAGCACTGCCCCAGTATCCTGGCTTCTCAGTGGACACTCATTCTACCACAAAATGGGGCAATGTTTTGAGCTGTGTTCTATTCCAGCCATGCAAAATTTTGCATGTAAGAATCTCCAGAAACCCTGGTGAGGAGACTAATAAAAATGAGCTAGTGAGCTTGGCGGACATTCTCTAAGAGCCATCTGCCTCAGAGCAGCTTTGACAGACGCCAAGGTCAGCTCCAGAGGCTGGGTGTCAGCGCACCAGGGCCTGGGAATTTCTGAGGCACTGCTCTCAAGGAATAGAGTCTCTTTGCACCTTCTTTTGTGTTTAATCCTGACTCTGTTGTTGCTTGGCAGTCTGGGGTGAGAAACACAAGCATAGGCTTGTGTTCCAAGACCTGGGGAGGGGTAGGCGAGGCTGGGAAGAGGTGTACAGCACACTGTCCTATGGGGACCTGGTAACTTCATCGGGAGAGTCCCAGAGAAGGGACTCAGCAAGAGAGTTCCTGCTCCTCCCTGCTCCAGCCTGAAGAGGTAGAGAGAGCAGAGAGGGCAGAGAGCAACCACATTGGTGCAAAGAGAGAGGCCGAACACAGAGAAAGAGTGGGGCTCATGGCAAAGCGTTCTTGGAATTCTCCTATCCCAAGGAGGTATATATTGGCAACCTGGAGGATCCTCAGTAGAGGAGAAGGGGTGGAGGCATGGTAGGGCCTGGTGAGCCACTGAGGGTAGAGATGGCACTTCACTGTCTCTGATTTTAGGGGTCAGAAGTTGAGAAGGGAGCCAAGGTTTGGGGATGGCAGGATACCAGATTTTCTTTTTCTTTTTCTTTTTTTTTTTTACTTTTAGTTCTTTCTTTTTATCTTTTTCCCTTAATTTGAAAGGCTGAGAGATAGAGACAGAGAGACAGAGATTGCTGGTTCACTTCCCAAATGCTTTTGGCTGGAGCAGGCCAAGCCTGGGAGCCTGGAAGTCAGTCCAGAACTCCCATGTACATGGCAGGGACCCACTACTTGATCCACAACCTGCTCCTAGGGCTCACATGAGCAGGAAGTTGAAATCAGGATTGGAGCTAGAACTTAGCCATTCAGGATGGGCTGTGAGTCTCTTTATTAACCAAGGCTCACATCAATTGCCTATCTGCTCCACAGCAGATGCCAAACCAGAGACACCAGGGCTGGAGGTGACACTTCCATCCCATCCACACTCATCAGCAGACATTTGGCTAGCGTCCTCCCTGCCTCACACAGAAAGTCACTTATTGCATTGACTTCCATCTGTGCTTCCAAACTCAACCTTTCCGCCTTTCTAAGGCCCCAGGAAAGATGGGAGCCTTTCGCTGTTCTCACACAGAGCCTCTCCTTGCCCATATTGTGTAACCTAACACCACACAGTAATCTTTGGCTTACCTCTCTACCTCCCTGACCAACAGTCTGAATTCTTGGAATACAAACAGTTCTGGTGGTCAGGTCAAGGCCTCTCTGAGTAGAAATACTCTCACGTGCCCTTCAGGATTCTTCCAGCAGTGACAATAAGCCCTTAAGGAGCTGAGGCCCCAAGGACCCAGCACCATCTGCTTCCTACACGCTGCGGACAGACTTGGCCTGGATGGGAACCTCCCACACCAAGCCGGCCTCCTGCCCTCTCTGCCCCATGTCCCAGGAAGCTGCCAAGGACAACAGTTCCAGCTGGCAAGTGATGAGATTTTCTTCCTGGAAGGATTCTTGGCTTCATCTCTGGCCTTTGCCTCAGTCTAGGCTTCTCTGATGCCCTCTGGTTGCTGGGGAACATGGGGGATGGGAGGGAGAGGCTGAACCAGCCCCAGATGGTCTTTATTACTTCCCAAAGTCCTGTGCCCACCTCCTATCTTCACTTAATGCACTCAGCAGGGATTTCCAACCTTGGGTAGAGGCACGGGGCTGGAAGGGCAGGCCTAGCTGAACATTTGATGCTCAGAGGGTAGCCCTGTCTCTGGCCACAGGTTAGAACTCCTAACTCGAGTTCTGAACTTCTCTTTCTTTTAGCATTAACTCCCTGGGGTAAAGCTGCAGCACACCATCACTGGAGAGGAATACACCGTATATTAAGCAGGGAAGACCCCTGCTTAGTACTTATGAACTTACTCTGTGACACACATGTGCTGCGACTCAGGCTGGAGCATCCTCCAATCTATAAAGGCCCAGTCTTTAGAAAAATCTCCCCTCCATCAGCACCCCTACCACAGCACAGCCCTTCCCCCAGCCCAGGAAACACATACCCAATCACAGCTACTTTATTATCCTTTTAATTTTTCTGAAGGATATACACCACATATCCCATAGGCAATAAAGCGCATTCAATGTGTTTATAGGCCAAACAGTCACTTTGTTTAAGCAAACACAAGTACAAAGTAAAACCACAAAATAATGAACTGCATGTTCATAACATACAAAAAATCGCCGCCTACTCAGTAGGTAACTACAACATTCCAACTCCTGAATATATGTATAAATTTACATTTTCAGTTAAAAAAATAGACTTTTGAGAGTTCAGATTTTGCTTTTAGATTTTTGTTTCCTTACATTCCGGAGAACCGAGGCTCAGCCCAGCCCTCATCTTTGTTTTGCTCCCAAAGCCTCCTCCCCCCACAAAATTGTCACTCCCTGCCCCCCTTAAGGCTAGAGGTGAGCATGTCCGTCCCGATTGCACATGTCAAGCCCTCAGCTAGGCGCATCACACAAAAGGCACCAAGACGTGAAACTTTTAAACCAAGAGGACAAAAAAAACAAAACACTTCTTTTTTTCCAAAAAACAGAAAAGAAAAAACCAAACCATATTTTGCCACATGTGAGAGTACAATCGAGCACTATTTACAGAAAGGTTAACGGAACAACTCTGACACATGCTCTGACTAATGCCTAGGACACTGCTGTTTCAAAAAAAGCTTCAAACTTATTGTCACAGCATCATCACAAAATAGAGGATCACCATTGGTTTGCTTGGCTTTTCTTTGTTTTTTTCCCTCCCCCCCCAAGATGAGGCCCTAATTCCAAATTATACAATAGAATATGCAAATTATCTTCACATCAAGAGTACCCCAAGAAAAACAAAATCCATGGCACAGACACTGTACAAGGGCACAGGGCAGGGGTCCCAGGGACCCACATCCTGTTTTTTGCCAACTCGATTTTCTAGCACTGAAGGGAGCAAGGGGTGGTCAGGCGGGCCACGGAGATGATACTGAAATGATTTATCCAAAATCCATGCAAGTCAAGTTCTTTGGATAGAGGTGAAGAACTTGGACATGGCTGTTTCAGGCAGCTGAAGTCAACAGGAATAGGGAAGGGTTTCTTCTGGGAGATGGGAAAAGCGGACAGAGGGAGCTGGCCTTCCACTCTGTAGCAGAGGGGACCAGGGCCCTCCACTCCAGGGCAGAGGGGGGTCTTCACCAGAAGAGCCTCCACCATCCAACCCGAGAGGAGCCCCCTGTAATGGCCACCTCCTTCTCCTGCCCTTTAAGTCTCTTGTGTTTCTTTCTTTCTTTCCCTTTTCCCCTAGTTTCCTCTTTTCCTTTAGCAAATTTCAATTGTCCTGGGAGAAAATGTGGCAGTCATGTCCGAAAGCCCCGTGGAGGCGCTGAAGGAGTTGGTGACAGCTGAGGACGGGAAGCTGCTGACCTGGGCTGGGAAGACGGGAGGGACGGAGGAGTACGTGGTGGCCACAGCCGGTGACGGGAAGCCGCTGTGCACAGGCGACGGGTAGGTCGAGGAGCCCGGCGAGGAGTAGGAAGTGGGCACGGGGGACGGGTACGAGGTGGCAACTGGGGACGCATAAGAGGTAGTGGCCGGGGACGCATAGGAAGAGAGGGAGGAGGTGGCCGAAGAGGCCACAACACTTTTGTCTGCTTTCTTGTCCTTCTGCCGCAAATGGATCTTGGTGTGCCTCTTGCGCTCATCGCTCCGGGCAAACTTCCTCCCGCAAATGTCGCAGGCGAAGGGCTTTTCACCCGTGTGGGTGCGAATGTGGGTGGTGAGGTGGTCACTGCGGCTGAAGTTGCGCATGCAGATGCGACACTGGAAGGGCTTCTGGCCCGTGTGGATGCGGATGTGCCGTGTGAGCTCATCAGAGCGGGAGAAGCGTCGGTCGCAGGATTCCACAGGGCAGGCATATGGGCGCTCGTGGGGTGGTGTCTTGCTAGGCCGGTTGGGGTACTTGCGCATGCGGCTGGGCTTAATGAGCTGGGACTGGTAGGTGGCATTGAGGGCCTTCAGGTCCTGAGAGCCCGACTGTGTGGCAAAGGCCTTGATAGTGGAGAGTGGCGTGAGCGAAGGCTGTTGGGTGCGACTTTCCATGCCCTGGAAGGGCTTCTGGTCTGGGTTGCCCAGACCCAGGTCCCCCTGCTGTTGTGGAAACAGGTAGTCGGGGATCATGGGGACCTGGAAGCCCCCCTTGGTGGCGGGGTAGGCAGGAGGTGGGTACTGGAGCGCAGTCCCTGCCGAGCCAGGAAAGGCCTGGCCCTGAGGCTCGGGGAAAATGTCCGCGTTGGGAGTGGGGAAGGTGGGTGCTGCAGAGTAGATGGGGCTGCTTTCGTTGGAGGGCACGGCGCAGCTCAGGGGTGGGCTCTGGGAGGCCGAGGACGAGGCAGAAGAGGACGAGGAGGAAGAGGAAGAGGTGGCAGAGGAGGAGGAGGCCGCTGGAGATGGTGCTGAGGAGGCTGGAGGGTTGCTCATGCTCACGAGGCCGCTGACCAGGCTGAAGAGGGGCTCGGGCCACAAGGTGTTGCCACTGTTGGGCGCAGGTTCTAGAGAGAAACGGCCGGTGTAGGTGATGGGGGGCAGCCGTGTGGTTTGGCTAGGGTAACTCGTCTCCACCAGCACCTTGTCGCCATTCAGAGAGATGTCGGGAAAGGACTCTGGGAGAGACAAGAGAAGGGAGGCCTGGTTACAGGGGAGAGCAAGAGCTGGTTCACAAGGAGGACCCCGGCTGCCGGGCGGGCAAGAGGTCGGGCGGCCACCAGCGACTCCGGAGCTGGTTAATAATTGATGGCAGTCGATTGCAATGTTCCTGGACCCGCTCCAGTGGCAGGGCCCGTTTCAACAACAGCTGACGCAAATACGGAGAATCCCCCTCCACTGCGGCTCCCTGGCGCTGCGCAGCAGCAGCGGCTGCGCGGCCGAGGATTCCCGCCCGCACCCGGCCGCCGAGGCTGCCTGCTGCGCGCCCCTGGCCCCAGATGTCCACGGTTCCTGGCGCACAGGCGGCCCGCAGGGCAAGCCTTTTCTGCACCGGGAGGTGAGGGGCGCAGCAAGGCTGCTCATCAAAACAAGCCTCCCTCCCCCCGCCCGCCACCCACCCACGCAGCTCCACGGCTCTCCCTGCAGAAGGAAAGCTCGCTGCGCGCCAGGGACCGGGCCAGGGGTGTCCCGGCATCCCTTTTAACACCTGACCCTGTGGATGCGCGAAGGGAAGGGAAACCCCAGTCGCAGGCACTCTTGCGCGGAGGGACCGCACGGCTGGACAGTGGCGCAGGCCCTGGCTTACCTGCGGTCAGGTGCTCGTAGGGCGGCTCGCCCGGTTCTCCCTGAGGATTGAAGGCGCTGCTGTTGCCGCCGCTGCCGCTGCTGCCGCCCCCTCCACCTCCACCGCCTCCGCTGGTGCCGCTACCGTTACCGCCGCTGCCCTCCGGGGCGCCGGCGCCCCCGAGGAACTGGGGAGCCCCGTTGCTCAGCAGCAGCATCTCTTCCAGCTTGGGGTAGTTGTCCATGGTGGGCGAGTGGGGAAAAGAGCCGAAAGGGTCTGAGATCTGCAGCGGAGACATGAGCTGCATCTCGGCCTTGGCCGCAGCCATCCCGGACCGACGGGCGGACGGCAGAGCTGGTGTCGGGGCGGGTGCGCGCAGCCGGGGGGCCGCCGCTGCCGGGGACACACTCTTGGGGGGAGGTGGGGGGACCCGGCCGGGTCACATGCGGGGCGCAACTGGGATGAGCGCGGTAGAGTCCCGGCTCGTCCTCGCCGCGGGCGGGCGTGGACGCGGCGCGGTCGCGTGGAGCTGGGCAGGGACCGGTCCTGCGGCTGTGGCTGGTGACGGCTGGCGGCGGCTCCCCAAGTTCTGCGCGCTGGGATCTCTCGCGACTCCCCGAATCCGCCTCTATTTGAAGGGTCTGGCACAGTACGGGCCCGCCTCCGGCGTGACGTACATGGCCATTTATGGGAAGCAGGAAGCCCTAATATGGCAAGAGCGGCCGGGAGGACCCGGAGTGACGCGAAGCCCCCTCTCGCAGGGCTGGGGGCACCTCCGTCCTGCCGTGGGGCCCCGCGCTCGCTCCCGCATCCCAGGCGCCGAGGCCCCGGGGGCAGCCGCCGTTTCCAGCCTCCAGCCCGGGCCTCGAGGCGGCGAGGCGGCCCCGGAGTTCCCGGCTTGCCCCCGCCCCTTCCCTCCGCCTGCTCCCCTCCGCCCCGCGCCGGAAGCGGCCGGACCATATCGGGCCACTCCAAATAAGGCTCTGCCCAAATAAGGCTTGTTCCGGCGGGGGATCCTTCCTGCTCCTTATATGGCGTTTCCGGGTCGCTGCCGCCGGCCTCCCCGCCTCCCCCCACCGCGCTCGCCTCCCGGGGTCGGAGTCGGGAGCGCGTGCGCGCGGCAGCTCGGGCGCGCGCCGGGCTCGGGGACAGCGCGAGGCGGCGGATGCCCGGCGATCGCCGGGCTGGGAAAGCCGGACCCGGAGCGGGGGCGAGGGCGAGCCGGGCCGGGGTTCTGCAGCCGTCATCCAGGGCCCGCCCGCCCACGTCGGGGACCGTGGGAGCCAGCGGGGAGCGGAGGGGGAGGAGCGGCTGTGCTGGCGAGGGCAGAGGCCGCCCGGGAGAGGCGGAGCGCTGACCCCGCGCCCGGACCAATGACACGGTGACTTTCCAGGTGTCACCGTGGAAACTGAGGCCCGGAAAGCACGGCCGCTTGGGATCTCGCGTGGCAGTGGGGCGCTTGCTTCTCCGGCCACCTACCAGTGGGATGGGACTGTTGGGGGGGGGGGTCGGAGACGCTCTGCGCCACCCAGAAACCAAACGCTGACCCCCGTGTCCTCGGCCTGCAAACAGCTCACCTTGTGCGGGGGTGGCGGTGAGCGGATTTGGGTTCCTGATTATTCTAGGAGAGACCCCGGTCTGGCCCCAAGCGGGAGCCAAGCGGGGCGGGTTGTGGGTGACGCTGGGGCACTTCCTTCACCTTTATCCCTGCGGGATTCTGAATCGGGGGCTTCCCTGTGGGATGTCCGGGGACCCCACGTCCAAGAGCACCTGCTTGGCGACTCGGTGCTGCCCCCTGCGGGCCCCCGGCCTGGTTCCCCCTTGTGTGCCGGGCGCGCAGCCAAGCCAGGCCGGGGGAGCCTGCGACGCAGTGCGCGCCCACTGAGCAGGCGCCGCAGCCCGGGCTCCCCGGCTGCAGTCCCCCGAGAGGCGCGGCTGCCAAGGCGCCCCGACTCCGGGATGACACCCCCACCCCGAGCCGGGCACGAGCGAGCCGCGAACAGGGAAGCCCTCCCCGCTCCCCACCGCACCTGGCAACCGAATGCGTACCCCAAAGGAAACAGTGATTCCAGGAAGGGAAGGCCCTGGCTCTAGCCCCGAATCTACGGAGAAGCGTGTTTTTCTGACTGTGAAAAGGAGAAAGTGTGTATGGGTAAGGAGGGTGCAGACCGAAGGGGGAGGCTTAGGGGGAAGCCTGCCGTTCTCTAGGGCTTCATACCTCTCCGTCTGCCTCTCCCATCTCTACATTGTCTTGCAATAATCGAGTTTAGGAATTCAGCTGTGAGCTAGGACTCCCTCGCCCGTGGAGCTCCCCCTAATCTCAAGTGTGTGAGCAAGGTGAAGGAGGGGGGCATTCCTCCCTTCCACCTGCTTGCCTGTGGGGGGCAGGGCAGGGTCAGAAGACCAGATGCTCCTTTTTTTGCCTCTGCTTGGTGGGGTCCTTTGGCCAGGCTTTTTATACCCCACTTTTTTTGTACTGTGATGAAAGGGGGTGGCATTGATCAATATCCCTCCAGGAAAAGCTGTGTGGAGCCTGAAGTTTCCACTGCTGCCCTCTGTGAAATCCCTAAGCCCCCATGCCCACCTTAAAATCGAAATTCTGTGTCAGTGACTGCTGTTCTCTTAAGGGACAGCACCCAGAATTTAAGCCCCACCTTGACCTCTAAGAAAACTCCAGTGACCTTACCAAGTGTGGTAGCCTAGTGGTTAAATCTTCCCCTGTCTGTGTCCCAGCTGCTCCACTTCCCTTCCAGCTCCCTGCTTGTGGCATTGGAAAGCAGCAGAAGATGGCCCAAAGCCCTGGGACCCTGCACCCATGTGGGAGACCAGCAAGAAGCTCTAGGCTCCTGGCTTTGATTTGGCTCAGCATTGGCTGTTGCGGCCACTTGGGAAGTGAAACAGTGGATGGAAGATCTTCCTCTCTGTCTCTCCTCTGGGTAAATCTGCCTTTCCAATAAATAAATAAATAAACCTTAAAAAGAAAATAAATAAAGAAAGAATACCCCAGTGAACCTTTTCTGCAAAGTTGTCCAGAAAGTGAGAATAGGAACAGTGTCCCTAAAGTGGATCTGAATCCTTCCTGTATGGTTTCCTAGAGCAGATCTTTTTCAACCTTCACCATAAAGTAAAAATTACCCTCTTCCTGAGACTGTGGCTGGGAGAACCTAGTAGGCATCTCAACCTGTGATCCTCCGTGGGGAACTGCCTAAACTGAGGGATACCCCACTCCCACTCCTCCGGCTAGAGCTGCTTCCCCAGTGGCTGGAAGGTCGAAACTGACCTACAGCATCTTCAGGTCCTTGCTCCATCGGTGTGAAGTCCTTGAAATCCACATCTTTTGTTTTACATGCCCACCTTCAATTAACCTTCCTTTTCTTAACTGTTCCTCAGTCAGCAACTCTTTTGGGACACCATCTTGATCCTTATGCTGGGGGCGGGGGATCTCAGGAGAATTTGTGTCCCAGGCCTGACCATCCATCCAGGAGCTAAGAGCACACCCTCTGTGCAGCTACAGTGATTGAGTCACAGTGGCACAGGATCCTAGCCCAGCCAATGACTGTTCCCAGGACTTTGTCTAGAACCTGCCTGAGAAACAGCCAATGCAAGGAAAGTCAGAGCAGAGACAGGTAGAGCCAAAGTCCCCAGACATAGCCTTGTGTGTCTTTGTTACATAAGCCAATGAATCTCCTTTTCATTTTAAATATTTTATTTAATATTTTAAGGCAAATGCAGGCCCAGCGTGGTAGCCTAATGGCTAAAGTTCTTGCACACACAGATCCCATATGGGCCCTGCTTTTCCATCAGATGGCTAATGGTCCAGGAGGCTGCCTAGATGCACTCACAGCCTGTCTGCCCAGCTGCTCCCCAGCCTTCCTGCCCCAGATGTGGCGTGGTGGGGGAGGGGCAGGTCTGTTTAGCTCAGCACTGCTCCCAGCAGGTTGACCGTGGGCATCACAAGCAGGCTGCAGGGGTCATATGGAGGCTCAAACACCCACTGGCTCTCAGGGCAAAGCCATCCCCTACTTCCCCACCCCGAACAAGCTCCCTGCTTGTGGCCTGGGAAAGCAATCGAGGACGGCACAAAGCCTTAGGACCCTTTACCTGCGTGGAAGACCCCGAAGAAGCTCCTGGCTCCTGCCTCCTGGCTTCAGATCGGCACAGCTCTGGCTGTTGCGGTCACTTGGTCACTTGGGGAGTGAATCAAACAGACGGAGATCTTTCTCTGTCTCTCCTTCTGTCTGTATATCTGACTTTCCAATTAAAAAAAAAAAAGGCAGACACAGAACAGGTTCTGATGGATGCACCTGTTATTGTTGACAGCAACCACAACTTCCTCTTCTTGTGGGCCAGGTCTGGGAATAATGCCTACAGCCGAGTGCTCCTGCCTCTGAGGAGCATGCAGATGGGTGATGGGTGTACAAGGACCCAGCTTTTGTGCTACAAGAGTGTAGAAAAGAAGAGGTCCCGATAGCCACCAAAAACCAGAGAGACACAACAGGGCATCAGAATAAGAGGCGGGAAAGACCCCAGGACTCAGAGAAGGGACAATGATGAAATTTTGGAGGAGTAAGAACTCGGGATGGAGCAACATGGTGGGGAAGAGGAGAAACTGTTGTAGGTTGGGGTGCAGGAAGCTGGGCCAGGAGCTAGGGCAGACAGTGTTCCTGCGGGAACATGGCAGAAGGGAGGGCTAAGAAAACTCTTTCCAAAAAGTGTATTGGTGTAGACAAAAGTGAACAGGATGTGAATAAAAAGGGCGATTTCAGATCATGATGAGTGCTGCTTGCATGTCAAGGAGGCAGGCAGGCCAACGAAGGCATTTGGAAGAGCTGACATTTATGCAGAGACAGAAAAGATAAGAGGAAACTGACTTGGCATAGACAGGTGGAGGGGAAAGCAGTGCAGGCAGAGGCACCACCTTGTAAAGGCCTCAGGAAGCCGAGAGGTTCCACCAGGACTCATCTAAAGACATGGGCAGCAAGCATGTCTAGAGCCAACCCCATGCCACTCCACTTGTTCTCCTTGGTCTACTGTGGTGGTTCATGCACGGAGAAGTGGCCTTCTTAAGCCCAGCCCATGTCTGTAGAGAAGCTGCCAGAAATAGGCATGGGGTAACTATGAGAAAGCGGGTTTGAATGTGGCCTCCAAGCCAGGGTTATACTGAGGCCTGGCTTCCCAGCAGCCAGGCTAGGGACCACTGGGACCCCATCCTCTCTGGTCCATCTTAAGTCTATGGCACATTCCCGTTGGCTGTGACTGGGGGATCTGGAAGTGAAAGCTGGCGGAAAGAATTGGCCCCTCCCAAGGAGGAAGGCTCCACCGGTGTGAGCAGTGTGAGCACTGCAGGTTTCCCAAAGGCCCGGATGCAACCTCCTGATGGTGTGAAATCCGTGG